AATATTTTATTAAATCAAAAATAAAATTAATTCGTTTTTAAACTTCAATTAAATTATAATAAAAAATGAAATTAAAGAAATTACACAAAAACGAAAACTTTTAGATAATTAATTTGATACTAATATCGTTTATTTTTTTCAACATTTTATAATATCTTCAAATTTATAGTTCATTCAAAAATAAAAACATTTTTCTTCTTAAAACCACATAAATTCCCATTATAACATCGATAGACCCAAAATATAAAACAAAAAACATTAAGATCAAAATGTACATCGTTGCATTGCACAGATACCCCCTTCTAGTGTGTGCGTGTGTGTATCTATATATATAAGCAGCGATTTAAACTATTTGACTTATAGGTGTTTTTTCAAATTTTTATCACTTTGGTTTGGTGTATTAGAAAAAAGGAAGTCACATTTCAAGACAAGAAAATAGAAACATTTGGGGTTATGTTGTATGATTTGAACATACATCCATGGGATATGATTCTCACCATTACATCCAAATGAATAAGATTTCAAAAGATGCTTACAAAACAACCTCACATAATTAACTAAGGATAAAAACATTAATATTATATTCTACTTATAACTTAATCTTTTTATTAACAAATAATTACAAAATATTTTTTAACCAATATCAACATTCATCAGTATTTTTCTGAGTTTTTTTTTGTTTAAACAGATTTTTACTGATCTCTCTTTTCCTTAGCTTAAGAAATTGTTGGAGATAATCATGGACAATAAAATATGTATTTTAGTAGTGTTTTCAGTTCCAGATTTGATGCTTACAGAATAAAACGGAAAGAGTTTTGTGTGATTAAATATATTAATAAGTTTCAAGCAGTATTTGTTTCATTCTTGGACTCGATATCTGTAAATTATATTAATAAGTTTCAAGCAATTGACCAAATTGACTATGCTTCTAATGAAATACTTCAAACTACAAAATCTAACATGTAGAGAAATGTAAGCTTTTGAACAACCATAACAATGCATAAATATATGTAATAAAGGACTAAGTCAATCATTTTTATAGTCAAAGGTTTGACCTTCAAAGATTTTAATAGAGATGGGATATGATACTCACGTTAGGGGTGTTTGGGATTACTTATCAAAATAACTTATTGACTTATTTTGATGTGGTACCGATAATAAGCACTTTTGAGTGTTTGTATAAATAACTTATATCAGTATCAACCCGGTAATAAAGAGTTTTTGAAGAAGTTAAACCTTTATGACTTATAATAAGTTGATAAATAATTTTGTAGAAAAGTATAAGTTGTTTCAAATAAACAATCTCAAACATCCTCTAAATCTAAATGAATAAACAATAAAGGTAAAAAGGTAAAGTGCCAAATATTAAATTTTTACTTAAAACTTAAGGAATGCATGCTACCTTTTTTTATTAACCAAAAGGTTAAAACAAAACAAAATACTTTTTGAATCAATATCAACATTCATTTGCAACAAAATTTCCAAGTCAAAAGCTCTAAAGTGATGCCCTTTAACCCTTTTTCCATCTCAATTCTTGCTTTTCGGGCTTTTGTGTTGCATAATTCATCATTGAAAAGACGAGCATGGTATCTTTTCGAGTACTTGCAATGCCTCTTTCATGGAAGGTCTCTTTTGTGGGTTCAGTGATGCACAACTGAACCCTAGTTTGAAGCATGCGAGTGTCGCATCACGTCTGCCGTCAATATCGCTTCTGATGGACATGTCAACCAACTTTAAGATCGAGTTCTCATCTTCGATGTCTGACGAAGCAGTGTTCCACAATCCTAACTCCCTTTCTGAGAACACCTTCCCTGATATTAGCTCGAGCAAGACGATCCCAAATGAGTAAACATCCCATTTAGGATTCAGTTTGAGGCTTTTCATCGACTCTGGTGCATGATAAGGAGATGTGCACCCTAGTAACCCTGTAGCTGGAGCCATGTACGGACTGCTACTAGCCGAGTGATGATAATCATGGTGGATCATCATCTCTTCACGCGATGATATCGATCTTTTACTACCAAAGTGTCGATTTGATCCCTTTGTTTTGTAGTTGTGTTTCCCTGATATAAGCCATTCTAACCCAAAATCACTAATCACCGGATCCATTTCCGATGTCAACAGGATATTGCTTGGTTTTATGTTGCCATGTACATGTTTCTTCTCATGGATGTACGCCAGCCCCATAGCAACCCCTTTTGCTATCTTGAGTCGAACCTCAAAAGGTATCTGACATGGAGACGAACCAACCTTTTCTAAAATCCGATAACGAATAAATATCAGTAAACCATAACAAACTAAAATTGACACACGAAGTTTAATGATATATAATAATAAATAATTCAACATATTTGACCAAATATATCTTATTAATCTTGTGTTTGACATATTATGTTGGAAACCACAAAGATTCATTATGGCATAATTTAATTAAAAGCATATTTTGTGTTTGATATAATTACAAAATATGGACGGTCGATATATAAAACAACAAATTTCTTAAAATCTATGTATTTTTGGTAATTAAATTACCAAATGTCACATGCCATAGCCTAGCCTTTGCTTTGTCCTGGTGCTTGTGGAATTTTCTTTTAGGGGTCATTTACTTAAACACTTACCCGGTAAGCATTTATCGGTAAAATTTAACATTATTGCTTACTTACCGGATAAGATTTTATTCACTAAAACGCAAAGTATGCAACAATTTATCCCGGTAAGCGCTAACCATGGTAAGAGTCTTCGTTCTCACTTACTGGGTAAGACTCTCGATTATTGTCTTCGTTCTTAACACGTAAGATTCTTAGTCTTTGCTATATTAATCAGGTAAAATAAAGTGACTTGATAAACACTTATCTGGGTAAGCATTTGGTAAACGACACATAAGTTATTGTAAATATAAGGGGCCGTTTACCAAAATCTTACATGGGTAAGCGTTTACCAAGTAACATTACCTTAGCGGATGGATATGGTAAGGACCAAGAATCTTACTCGGTAAGAGCGAGACAAGGACCAAGAGTCTTACCCGGTAAGTGGGGCGACAACTCTTACCACCGTAATCACTTACTGGGTAAATTGTTGCGTACGATGTCGTTTTTGTGGACTACAATCTTACCTGATAAGTAAATAATAATGTTAAATTTTACCGATAAGTACTTACCGGGTAAGTGTTTGGTAAACGGCTCCTAAATCTCATGGAAGATGCAATGATATTATATGTTAATTCAACTTATTTATTAATTTCGAATAATAAAATAATAACAAATTGGGCTTAAAATAAATAAAAAATTAGTTCTCAAAATCTATGATTTAACACCAAATTTTACAAAACTTAAAACTAAATTAAGAAAATGTTGTATTTTTATTAATAAAAAATAGAAAGGAATATTTGCTTTGGTTATAAAATATAACGGTAATATTGATTTGGATCAAAAAGACTAAAAGCCATCTTTTTGTATTAATTCTATAAATTATCTTCAAGTAATAAAAATTTTTTTAAAAAAATGTAAGTTAGCAGGAATAACGGGGAGGTGCTAAAATACGCTATGAAGTGAAGGAGGAAGAAGGAGGAGCTTACTGTAACCAGCACCGGCCAAGCTTCCATTGGAGACATAGTCGTAGATCACAAGCTTTTCATCTTCTCCCCAGTAAAACCCTCGAACCCTTAACAGATTTGGGTGCCTCAACTTGGCCATAATCCTAATCGTGTTTTCGAACTCCCTCATTCTCTCCACCCCACTATCTCCGATCCTCCGAACCGCAAACGCCATCCCTCCGCCGCCGCTTCCGCCACCCAGCACCGCCTTGTACACTATACTTGACCCACTTGAACCCAACACATACGCTGACGCCTTCAACAACGTCTCTATTTCCAGCTCTGTCTCCCCATCTACCATAACCAAACACTTTTGTTTCACGTCGATCGTCAGATTGTCGTTCTCGTGATCGCTGTCGGACCCAGTCGCCGTTTCCGATGATTCATCTCCGGTGACACCATTCAAGCATGAGAAGGTTGTAGAGAGGGGTCTGGTACTGGTGGTATCTTTTGAAATCTTGGATTCTTCGATTTTGGTTGTTGGGTTTTGATTCTGGTTCATTCTCTTCTTTCGCAATTTGTATGCGTAGAGGAAAAGAATGGCGAGAAGCCCAATACCGGCTAAATCACCGGCTACAATGGCTGCTATTTTCGCTGGCTTAACTTTCGGGCCACCGTGGTTATCCGCCATAGCCGATGTTCCTGGGGTGTTTACCGACGAGGGTGACGAGTCTATGTTCTTGGGAATGGCTGCGATTGCTGCGGAGGCGGAACCATTTGCAGTGACGTTTGGTGGAGTTGATAGTGATGAAGGGATTGTGCACATTCTGTCGAGTGGTTTTCCACACAGATCCAGGTTTCCGGCGAAGAACTCTGTTTTTTGATTAGATAAAGACAACAACTGTGGGATTTCTCCGGTGAGATTATTGAACGAGAGGTCAATGGTTGCAATTGCTTGTATTTTTCCGGCGAACTCAGGCGACACTGATCCGGAAAGTTTGTTGTTGGACAGATTCAAGTAACGCAATCTCTCTCCTCCAAAATCAAGAGGCAGAGTCTCGTTAAACAAATTGAAAGACAGATCCAAAACCTCAACATGATCAAACCCACCAGGAATGCTACCGGAGAAATAATTATTCTTCAAGGAAACAGCAGTTAAGTTGTTCATAGACGCAAGAGCTTCCGGTAACTTTCCGGCGAATGCATTATCAGAGAGATTAAGCACCTTAAGACTATGCAACCCACTTATCAACTCCGGGAGCTCACCGGAGATGACATTGGAGGACAAAGAAAGCGATTCAAGTACAGAAGAATTGAAAATGGAAGGCGGTAGAGTTCCATTCAAGGAATTATTAGAGAGATCAAGAGAACGTAGATGCGGAAGCATCCCCAAATCCTGAGGAATGGAACCCAGAAGGTGGGAATCGGGAAGCACCAAGCTGACGACGTTGGAATCGAACTGAAGTGTGGGTTCACAGGTGACTCCTTGCCATGAACATGGAGTTAGATCATCATAGTTCCAGTTATCAAGAACTGAAAAGGGATCAGAGAGAACAGAGTATTTGAAAGAAAGAAGAAGGATTCCATCAGAGTTGAGAGCAGAGATGGAGGAAATGAAGAAGAAGAAGAAGAAGAAGAAGAGATGGATCATGATGATGATGAGTGAGTTTGAAGAATGAGATGAAATCTAATAAGTGATGAAAAAGGAAAAGAGAGGGTAAACAACTGTGGGCATGGTTGTTCTGGTGAACAAAAAGGTCAGGGGGATTAGAGAAGGAGAAAGTGGTTTCAGTACTGCACAGTACACACCTGGAATTTAAGAACAAATATATTCAATATCTGCACTTTTGTGGGTGATTCCATCTTACAATCCATGCAATGCACCTCTTTTCATGCTAATTTTAACTAAACCCTAATATTATAAATAAAAACTTTAACTTCTTATCACATTTTGTGGAGAGTTCTTATATCATTTTTTAGTTCTTGTACAAAAACCTTGATTTTTACGTTGAGTTGAACCATTAAATGATAATTTGTCAAATTTTTATATATTTTTTTTATTTGTATATTCAATATAATAACTGAGATATAGGTATTTATTTAACTTATATTATAAATGAGACCTACAAAATAAGTTCTTATTAGAACATTTTCAACACCTTCTCCATTTTAAATATTACAGTATGATTTGTAGAATTAAAAAATTTAATATCTTTTATAAAATATTATTTTTCTCCACTATACATTTAATTTCAAAAATTCTCATCGGTGGAAAAATGATAAATAATTTCTCTTTCGTAGATAATGAGAGTCTTCTAAATTTGAAAAATTTTACGTTCTCTTTCCTACTTTCTCTATTTTGGAGAAGCTTTTGAGAAATCTGTTGAAACAGAAATCACCAAAATTTTTACTTTGAAAAATTTGTTGGAGATGCTCTAAATCTATCATTGTAGAGTTTATCTAGGTTATTAATTTGGTGAATTGGAAAATGACTTGACAAGAAAAGATATAAAATGTAGGCTTTTATTGGAATGTTCATTGGAAATGCCCTTTATCTGCATCTTGTTTTATCTCAAAATCAGATGAAGTCATGCATTTAGAATTTAAAAAGCAAACCATAAGGGTGGTGCCCGATTGGTTTGAACTTGGACTCCAAAAGTCAAAAGTGATTGGAGGTCTCAGGTTCGAATCCAATGAGAAATAAAAATCTCTTTGTGACCATGGAGGTTCAAATGTGGTGATTTCGGACGACCCGCGAAGCGGGTGGTCACCCTGGGATTAGTCGACTCGCTGGCGGGTTGGATATCCGGGTTAATAAAAAAAATGTAAAAAGTATGTGTTAACATTGATGTATGTGAAGAAGACATTAGTATCTAAGGGTGCTCATGGATTGTGTTGATCAGGTTGAAAGCTTTTAAATAACTCAATCCAATGCTTGCGGTTTGAAAACTTTCAACCCAAACCAAAGTGCAACCCAACTCAACCCAAATTGTAAGGGTTAGTCGGGTTGATACTTTGATATATTAAAATATTCTCCTAACCTTGAATATGTTGTTTTCTCCACTCATAATTTCTTTTTCATCAATGATTTGGTACAACTTATCCATACTTCTTAAATCTTATATATCTCTTATGTAAATCGCATTCAATTAATCTTCTCAATTTGCGCGCACACACACACTTAAATATATATATATATATATATATATGTGTGTGTGTGTGTGTGTGGGGGGGGTGGGTGTGTGCACGTGTGCGCATGATGGACCGTGTGAGAATGAGAGTTAATGTGAGAAGTGTAAGAAGGGATCTGAACCCTTGATCGCCTTTAATCTCAAACTCATTCATGAATCGCACTTGATATGGGGATTAGTCTAGTGCATCTCGGTGCATATCATCATAATGTGCATCTAAGAACAAATATCCCTTATTACGCTTCTCACTTCAACTCTCCTTCTTACCAGAACCCAACCTTACATATATATAAATCATAGTTAACTGAACATATATACAAAGAAGTTATATAGAAATAAGAAATATATTGAAAATATATGTATATGGAGAGGGATAGAGGGTACGTGATGATGTAATTGTCTAATGTGCATATTAATAAAGACTCAATAATCATATTAAATCCAAAAAATAAAAGGATATCAGATTCATTAGGTTGGATTGAGTTCAAATAAAAGTAATCCGATATCAATCCAATACATATGGTTTGAAGATTTTACAACTGAATTAGACATGAAGTTGTTTTGAGTTGAGTTATTTCGCGTTGTGTTGGTTGGATCGAGTTGATCGGATTGATCGAGTTTTTAAGCATCCCTATAGCCGCTACATGTGTATTTAGTAATATATAAGGGTGCATTTAATCCATTCCCTTCAATGAACCAATTATATTTGTTGAAACTGATAATTTTTAATTATTTTGATTATTTATTTTAAAAAAAATTAACAATTTTATTTAACCTAAAACGTTTAATCCATTGTATTTCTTACCAAATTTACCAGGTAAATGTGACCAATTTTTAAATAATTAAAAATTTAATTTATTTAAAAAAAATGTTTTCCTTTAGGTTAAAAGTGTGTGTTTTGTGGGATAATTGAATAAGATGGGTAGAAATGGAATCTTTGTGTTTTTGCTACAAGACATGGTCGAATGAGTTGGAACCCCACCGCCTCTGTCTTTCCAAACAATACCTAAAAAGCCAATAAAAACTTATTTGCAAGTAACTCCATAATTATACAATAATTACCAAACTACCCCCTCGTTATTTTATTGACCAAAAAACTTGTGACCATCCGTTCAAGAGAGATGTATTTTGGGTTATAAGGGTGAGATATCAAGGATAAGTGTATATTAGGATAAATGTGGCATATCAAAAATAAGTGTATACCAATATAAGGGTAACATAATCATTGTGTTATAAAATTTGGGTTTTGATCAAAGTATTTATATTTATCGCATCCTTATGATGCGATAACTTGGAGTTGTCGCATCAGTGTCATGCGATAACTTTGAGTTGTCTCATCCTATTGATGCGATGAAGAGGGGTTATCGCATTAGTGCGATGCGAGGAATGGGTTTTGTCGCATCCTTGTAATGCGGCAAGTTAATTTATCGAACCTATATGATGCGACGAGTTGGCTTTATCACATCATTGTGATGCGATAAGTCGAGGTTCTCGCACCAATGTGTTGCGAGAACATGGGTTTATCTCATTACTATGATGCAAGAAATTTGTATAATGTCCTATATGATACAACAAGTTTTACAATAATATGTTTATCAAATTATTTGAATGCATTAAATGAGGTTTGTTATATTAAAATAATGAATATTTGTTATTATTACAAGTGTAAGTTTAAAAATGTGATTTGATGATTATTCACCCTATAATTGCATCAAAGGGATTTCTCACTAGACCTTAAGATCTAACCCTTGTTTTGTGTTTAAAAAATGTGCATTACAGGTCGGGCACAACCGGAAGATAAAGGGAAAGGAAAATTGTGAAGTGATAATATTAATGCATACATGGAATTTTGGACTAGCATAATCTTCTTTTGTGTATGAATACTTGTTATTATTCATGTGTATTATAGAGATTTTATGGAAAAGTTGTGAGTTATTTTGTAATATAGCTTTTGTAAGAGATTGAGGACCGAATGTGTAAATTATATTTTTTGATATATGAAAATATATGTTTATATGCAAATGTGATTATGTGCAAATGTATAATATAGCTTTTAATTTTTCTAAAACATCTAAAAGTTTAAAAAATTTCATATAACTAACCGATAAACACAAAAAAAATCGATATAAAACACCACATTTTTATTTTCATTTAAAGTATACTAGTGTTCCAACCGCGCGTTGCGCGTTAGTGATAATACTATCTTCAAAAGAAATGTTATAGACTAAAATTTGAAGTCCACTTCTAAAAAAATAGGCAAATGTGTGTAGCAACTACTCATTAACATTAAAAGTTTTTTAAGATAAGTTGACAATAATCTTAGACCATATGCTAATTTAAGTTATCTAACTATGCTCGAGAATGATGTTACAAAGTACTCTACAAATGTTTGATTAATGTTAATAGTTTGATTAATTAGAAGTCACAATTTCAACTGAAATCTCATATAAGGTGACAAAATCATTTCATTTTGTAACAAATTTAATTGAAATCTCATTTAAAGTTATGAAAAAAAAACGTTCTATAATATTTCAAGTAAAAATTAGAGGAGTGCGTAAGTTGTAGCAATAGTAGTGGAAGTTCAAGGTGATGCATGAAAAACTAGATCACCAAGCTAAGATAATTGATTTTTCCTCATAAAAATTAAAATTAATATTAAGTGGGGTCGATGACCCACATATCAGATATTAAACTGATAAAAACAAATACTACACTTTATCGTAACAAGTATTTAAATGTTTTACTTTTGTAATTCTCATGGTGCCACCTCATCACCCCAATGTTTTACTCTTATATATATATATATATATATATATATGTTAGTTATTATACAACCCTTGACATTTATGCAACCAATACAACTCAATCTCAACCGTTCATTTCATTTGATTACTATGTGATTTCATAGAAGTTTTGATTGTTTCTAATATAAAGTATTGATCATAATTAATGAATCATATTCTATCTTCCATAAATATTCAAATCATAATAAATGAACTCTTATTGTTTCCATAAATATCTCAATTAATTGGGTTGCATTGGTTGTACAAATGGACATGGTTGTATTTGAAATATACCATATATATATATATATATATATATATATATATATATACACACACACTACATTTGTTATTATCAATACTTCAATAATCACAACATTTGTTAAGAAAAAAAAAGTATATTTGCATTTGTTTTGCACAAATCTTTTACCAATTAGTTGGTTTTAATTTCAACCATTGCTATAGATTTCAAAGCTCTATCTTGCATTTATACATCTATCATCTTCTTTCAAACTATCATCTGTCTACCAATGTGAGATGATGAAAGTCAACCTCACACACACACACACACACACACACACATATATATATATATATATAATCTAATATAATTAATTTTACACTATAATTTCAAAGAGGGTCATCCAAATATTAAT